TGGGCTAGGGGAGGGTGTCCCTGCCCATGGCAGGGGGTTGGACCTAGATGGGCTGTGAGGTCCCTTCCAGCCCAAACCAGTCTGGGATTCTGTGACTAGTGATAAAGGGAATAACAAGCTGGCAGGCATGTGGAAAGGCAGCTTTAGGACCTATGACCATTGTGCCAAAGATGCTGAAATTAAACAAGCCCCACTCTGAATTCAGAAGGTGGAGAACACTGTGTAAGTGATCCAAACTGCACACAAGACTGATTTTAACCAGATGGTCAATATGTGCCTTTAAGATCTAAGATAACATAAAGAGGATTCTCGATTTTAAAAGCTTTGGAAGTTTTATGTTTTGCTTATTTAATCCTGAAGGACTGTGACAAATGCAAAGTTTTTATTAATTTCTTTGAGTCGTGTGTTCTATTTTATAGGACTCACTGGGATACGAGTCAGATGACCAGTGCTACCCAGCTGTACCACACTGCAGGAACAGAGGGAAATCCATAATAAATTACAAAACATACACATGCATTACATTTTTAGACACATAGCTCACCCTCCCCTTTCATGGCATGTTGCTTTGGACAAAAGTTGTATTCTTCTACATGTGATACCACAATGACAGAACAGTTTCTTCCATAGTGAACCACAAAAATATCATGCTAACAGCCTCAAAGCACACATTAGGCTTATACTAACAGTAACACATTCTAGACCCAAGTTTTCCTAGTCTCACAAGAAGAGGCTTTCATTGCCGTTTCTCAGGGGTGACAGTAAAAAAAAAAATTAAAAAAATATTTTAAAATAATAGAAACAGTTACAAGGCACTTCTAATCAGCTCTGAAAAATTTTGTTGTAGCAGAGCTTAGACTAGAGATGGAAAGTCATCCACCCCCACCTTACCTCTCTCCCATCTCCTGCTTGAGGGGTTCCCAAGAATAAGCACCTCCTCTCTACCTGCAATCTTAATTCCAACAAGTCAACATCAGCTTCTTTATTTCAACCTATCCCCTATTAATTACTGCCACACTTCCCAAGCAGACATCATCTGCTAGATAAAGAACTCTTCAGCTTAAACCAAGAAAAACTGAGTTGGAAGGGAACACATTACTAACAGGTAGTAAAGAAACTCTCCTCTTCCATCAAGGGCACCTCATGTTCACATCAGATACTATTCTTAGCACTGAACTCATGTGTTTAACACAACTGGATGCCACTAACCACAAGCAGTTCAAAGAACGAACTAACTGTTGGGTTTTTGAACTACATAAGGCAACTTTGTTTCAGTCTATTTACACATAGGAGGTTTTGCTGATAGGCAATGAGTAAGCAAAAAAGTATGAGCAGGTCAAGGCTTCAAGTACTGCTGATCTACATAACCAAATATATCTACTTGCAAGAAACTCA